GATTGTAATTATCTATATGTAGTCATTAAATGTGTAGTTGGCTCACTGTACATTTCTCTGCTTTTTTCCAAGGTAACAAATTCTTCTCTGGCCATACTTCATCTCCAGTTAGAAGAAAACTCTCCCCATTTCCTTGTGGTTGCATGGGATTCCCTCTTGACTTCATTTTTCTACTTAAACTGAGAAATTTTTTAATTGCTTTCTCTTTTGTTGAATTCTTTTCCATTGTCATAAAATAAAACAGTGATATCTATGATTCTGATTTTTGTTGATTTTTGAGGTATATTTTATATAGTGGAACGTGCCAAGATTTTAAGTGGAAATTTGGGCAAAATCCATTCATCAATGAAATCAAGATATGAAACAATTCTACTACTCTTCACGTTTTTGCATGCCACCTTTCCATCTTGTTGTTCATTTCTTTTCATTGCTAAGTAGTATTCTTTTGTGTGATTCTACCATAATAAAGTTATCCAAAATTTTTATCCATTCTCCTATTGATGGGAATATGGTTTCTTTCTTACTTTGGGACTATTCTGAAGAGAATTACAATAAATATTCGCGTTAAATTTTTGTGTGAACATGTGTTTTCACTTTTCTCAAGTTATTACATAGAATGGAATTACAGGGCTATAGGGAAAGTGTATGTTTAACTTGTAATATGGAAACTGTCAGAACAATTTCCAAAGTGGTTGTACTATTCAACATTCCCACCAGCAATGTACATGGGACCTGATTTTCATTTTGCAGAAGACGATACTGCCCTAAGGAATAGGGAAGGAACTGTGCAGGATGAAAGTCAGTTCCCAAATGGAACAATCCCCTACCACTTCAGCCGCTTACCTTAATTCTAGTTCATCGGAAGGAGATGAACAGTGACATACCAGGTGGGTGGAACTAATTCAATCTGTCCAATACAGGTACATATTTTGCAGGGAATTTTAAAATGAGATTAGCTAAAATCAAATTTGCTTTTTTGATACCATGTAATGCATTTCTAAGCAATGTCAGTGATAAAATACTTTACACCAGAGCTATGCACCCTATGCAAGGTGTGTGACTGAAATAAATGACTATGGTGCTCAAGTCACTGTAGTTTTTAAATACTTATCTATTCGTGGACCTTTTCTCTATGCTAATTGCATTTAAGATCTACTTTCTTGGATTAGTACTCACTTTATGTAAAATTATACATATATTATGTCAACATTCTTACCAATAAATAGCAGTTAAAGTTCAGGGCATATTAAATATTTGAATTATGAATTGCAATTAATCAAATCATGTTTGGTTTTTTTTTGTGCATTGAACCAATGGTTTGGTAACTTCTTTGCATAAGTCATCTCTCAACTCAATGAAGTAAAGTGAAACTAGCCCCCAAATCAAATTTTATCCAATGTACTTCACTGTTATTGAACAAGGATTTAGATGTCTGCCTATCTTTAGCACCTTTACTTCAATCCTAGAATTGAACATGCCTTCACTCCTGACTTAATGACCTTGATTTCTGCTAAGTACAGTTCTTCATGACAAAAACATTTCAGAAGACTAGATTCCTAGATTCTTGGTCCGCACTTATGCCATGTGAAACAACATTAGCACATGAATCGAAGAGAGCTAGAGAGCTGTAATAGTCTCTGAATGTTGGTCAACAGTCTTGTTCTGAACATCTAATTTAAGTAATAAAATAAACTGCTTAAGATACCTCACTGCTTTTTAAACACATAGTAAGTCCTCCTTTAAGTTGTAGAGAGAGGATCTTGGAAATTGCCATCCGAAGCAAAATGACACATGATTAATCCATTTCCTCAAATATCATTCATTGTCAGTTGGGACTGGTTTTCCTTAACAATGTTATGATGAAATAGTGTTATCTGGGTATCAGATTATTTGCATTTACTTTCTGTCCAATTTGTCTAGGTGAAGGTCTTCAGGACTACATTTGTACTGAGAAAAGTTGCATTAGCTACTTGGAAAATGGCAGTGCATCCCTATGAGCAGTATCAAGAAGTATTTATCAGACTTGAACTCAGAGTATGTGTTTCATAGGTGACAATTAAAATGTAAGTAAAAATAGGACTGGCGTCCAATGCCTCCTAAGGGTGGGAAACTTTCCTAAATATACCAGAAAACCACTTCTGGGCTCATTAGTTCAAATTGCCCAGATATGCCCATGTTGACTTAATCATTGACAAAGGAGATAGTTTCAAGTCTTTCAGACATATCAGCTGGGATGGAATGGGAATTTATTTCAATTGTTGACCTCATTACATGGAGTAAGTTCTTATTTCTTAATATTTGGTTCATTAATGATTAAACAAAGGAACTAGTGTAGCTTATGTCTCATAATTTATGAATACTGATGCACTATTATGTAATGCTTCTATTTATTGAGATTTTATTAAGATTTCCTGTTTTGTTGAAGTAATATTGTGTTATATAAGTTTCAGGTGTTCATCACTGAGAAGCAACATATTGTAGATATTGCTAAATTCCAAATCTGTGATGTTAATGGAGGAGACTGAATTGCTTTGTTTGGAGAGCCCTGTTGTAGCTTCATAATTTTTCTATTAATCTGAAATTAACCCAAAGTCAAGCAATCATTAGTAAGAGAGTGTGGATATTTGGAGCTTATAAGCGTGGGCAGCAACCAATTATGTTGATTCAAAGTATATCTTAGTCACAATATTGCAATGTCAAATTCTAGGCAGGTTTAAAAAATTAGAGATTAACAAATACCCAAGTTTGGTACAAGTAACAAAAAGAATATTTCAGAATTGTAAGATGTAAGGATCAGGACAGTTAAAACAAACAGACTCAATAATCAATGAGGAGAAATACGACAAAGATGACCCCAGGGGCAAATTTTAGTAGGAGGAATATCTTTATAATCGATATTAGCCTTCCTTGTAGTCTAGCACCTGACACTCAGAACTCTTTAATGTGTTCAAATGCAATAAAAATAAATAAATTATTTAAAATGAAAGTATCCAAGCGTTACTAACCTGGGATGTGAGGGTGAAATTAGTTAGGCGGCATCATCTGTGACCTGTTAATCGTAGAGATTATCATGCCAGGGAGAAAGAATAGGAAATAAGTTGGTCACTGAAGATTTTTTAGTTGTGGTATTTTATAAGGTAGTTTGCCCATGTTCCTGAAAGGTAATCAAAATTAAAATTACAAAGAGACTTTTGGTCTCAGGTAGAGGGCTTGGAAATCACCCCTGTACTAACATGGAAAAAGATGAACATAATGGAAAAAAACAACTCTTCTGAGAATCATAGGAGAAATGAGGTCACAGGGCAAACTAGTGTTGCCTAGCCCTCAAATGGAGAAAAACAGGTGGACACAGAGAAACGCAATAGGGCAAAAAACACCCACTACAGAAATCCCCATGGAAAGCAGGGAACTAACACCCAAGCAGTAATTGATGAATTTCCTGACGATTGTGAAGGTATCATCCAGGGACCCAATGTCTGGGGCGGGGGGCTCATAGTTTTGAGGTTTACCTCCTAGGCAGCTACTAATTTTGTCACTATGACGACTGGAGAAAAATCCCCTCATGCTTCTCATAGATGGAAGCTAAAACAACCATTTTGAAATATGTCAGAGCACTTCAGAAGACCTGCTCTCAGGAGAAACTATTTTGTCACCAACTTGGCTTTTATAAGAAATTAACTGGCCCAGGGAAAGGGAGATATCCAACTCCAGTAATCTAATCATCTCGTCCTACTTGGGTAGAGGAAGAAGGTTCTAAGAAGGTCTTGGGCACAGACTTAACAATCATTAATCCCTTCCCGCAGCACCTTAACACATTTCTAAAAGTCTAGTTAACAAAGTTCTGTTTATACTGTATGTCATATATTTCCTTTAATAAGAAAGAATATGTACATTAAAAGGCAGGAAAAATGCAATGTGAAAGAACATGCAAGCATTGGAAGTAGACCCAGATATGATATAGAAGCTGGTTTGAAAGCAGCTGTGATAGATACAGTGAAAACATCAAGGGGAAAAGTAGGCAACATGGCAGAATAGGTGACTAATGTAAGGGAAGAGATATGAGTTGTAATGAAGAACTGAAAGAAAAGCAATGTTACACCCAGAAACAAACCAAAAAACTATAGCCCTAGCAAATGTCAAGCGCCTTTAAGGTGCTTTTGTAGACTAAATTTTGCTGGGGAAAGAATCTCTAAGTAAGTTTTAGTATTTGTCAATAAAAACCTTTGAAATGGAAAAGCAGGAAAAAAAAAAAAAACAGAACAGAAAGTCAAAAAACCATGGGACAATAGCAAGAGGTATAGAATATACACATAATGAGAATACCAGGGGGAGAAATGGAAAATAATATTTGGAGAAATAATCACTGATAACTACCACCAAAGTAAAATTTGACAGCCAAGAAGAAATGCAGCATGTTAAGTAGGAAGGACAAATGCCAGACAAGCCACACATAGGCACATCAATTGCACAAAGAGAAAGGAACATGTGGAAGACTCACTGAAACTGGCACCAGAAGTTTTTGTCATTGGTTTCACGTAGAGTTCCCTACTACCGTAACCGTAGTCACTCTTCGCAAAGAAATCGAGCATAAGAGATTTTTGTACTTAAACGGAATGAACACCAGTGCACTGAACTCTTAGACATCACAGAAGTTAGTTCACAGGTAATATTTGACAGCAACTTTTACTGAAATGGGACTGGCATTTGGAGTCAAACCCCTAAGTTTAACTCCTTGCTCAGCATCTAAATTGTCTTTTAAAACAATTGTATGGGGACAGCAAGCAAGATGAAGGTGCATACATTACACAAAGATGAAAAGTGATGCAAACAATATGTAAAATAAAATTTATGGAAAAGCTAATCACATGGGAAATAAAGAAAAGAAAATGCTAGTGTTGGGTAAATGAAGATTGCTCAGGCTTTTTGCGCCATTGGCCTCTGTGGGTATCACCTGCGCCCTGAATGCAGGAGATGCTTTGGAGCCTGGGCTCCAGGTACTCATGCCTGATGGCGGATACCTGGAGAGTGGAGGTGTGGGCATGCATGAGGGGGTGCACCTGAATCAAGGGACTGAGCATATAAGGGCAGCATCAGAGAGGGCAGAGTGCGTTGGAGAACGGCAGCGCAAGGACTCTCCATGGCTGAGAGAGGAAGAGACCAGGAGTGAACTCCAGAGAGTCCAAAGAAATGGTAAGTATTTGCTGGGGAATGGAAGCCTGCCAGCCTCTGGACCCCAAGCACACCCCTCCCCTTTCCCCCACACCTCCTGCCTACCCTGTGAGAGCCCAGAGATCTCAAAGATTCACCAACAGCCAGGAGGCCTTCCAGCCTCTTGGTCCCCTGGGCCTCCTGCCTGCCCTGCCCCTGGGTCCCTCCCTACAAATGGCATAGAAGGAATAATATGAAGCCCAAAAAAGCCTCTAGGACTCAGAACTTCTTTGCACTCATGCCGTGGTCCACAGAGAAGCTGTCCTGCTGTCTTTCTGCAACGACACTGGCGTGAATCCGCAGGAGGCCTCCAAAGCCCTGGGGAGGAGGACGGGTGGGGAGTGCAAGCATGGAGTGCTCGGTGGCCGGCACCCTCTGTGGGCGCCTCCCCATTCCCTGGTGCAGGTGGAACGGGGGAGGGGTTGAAGGAGCGTGGTGCCTGCTCCGAGGCTGGGCTGAGGATGTGTGTTCCTTCACAGATCTGCAAACAGAGTGCAGGACCATGCTGGAGGTACCATGGCAGCAAAGGTGGACCAGCTCTGGGAGCTACAGGACAAGACCTAGTGTGAAAGAGATGGGCCGTGAGGACCACCCCACAGTCCTGAGGCACAGGCTTGCTGGGGAAGAAAGAGGAGGTTCATCAATCGGAGCTCGCCCAGTGCGGATGTAAGGATAAAACTGATGGACTACCAATTAGCCAGTAGGCTGGGGAGTGCTGGCAGGTTGATGTTAGGTCTGTGGTATTCTGGTGGTGAATGGTATCACTTTTATTCCCCAGGAGAGAAGCATCAAGGCGTGGTGGTGTCCTCGGTGGTGTAAAGCAGACCTTTGTGAGTTTCTCTGTAGCCAGGCACAGGAGTCACTTGGATAAGCAAGAAGCTAGCGCCAAGGTCGGGAAGGCTGTTAAGCAGCCCGAAGATGGTAGGGAAGGCAGGTGAGCTGCGTAAAGTCATCAGTGGTGATGGCCAGTTAACTTATGCACAAGGTGAGTAGTTGAGGAACCATCCTCAGGGAACGGGTGGGGAATGTGACTTTGGGTGGAGACCATAGTGGAAGAGGGAACCAGAGGGAGCCCACACGTGGAGCTTGTTCTCCAAGTTTCCCGACCCAAGTGTCTTTGGGGTTGGTCTTAGTGCTGGGGTCTGCTTGTCATATCGGTGGCAATGAAAGCCAAGTGATGGAGTGTCAGCGTAGAGTACCCCTGGGGATTGGGGGATGTATACTCAAGAGTATACTGTGTTGCCGATGTCTGTCGGAGTGAGCTCAGCCTGGGGGAGGAAGCATTTTATGGCTTGTTGCCTAGACCACAGCTGGAGAAGGTCAGGAAGCCTGATGGCTGCTGGCAAGTGAGGGCAGATGCTGTGAGTGAAAGGAGTGGGTCACCCCTTGAATGAGCAGTGGCTTTGGCAGCAGACTGGCTGGATCATGTGCTGTTGCCAACAAGCACCCTGTTTGACCCTTTAGTGAGTTGAGCTTGGTTTTAATCTGTTACTGTGAAATCCAGTTGCATTCTGTTTATTTTTGCAGATCATGGCTGTACTCTTCATGCTCACCAAGGAAACTGATGTGTGGATCGTTGGCGAATAACTCTGAGGTGGTTGATTTTTGGGTAAAATATTGCGCAGTGTAGAGGCAGGAATGGGCACAACACAGGTTTTCTTGGACCCGAGTAGATGGGGTAAAGGAGTCGGTCGTCTTGGAGCCCTCAGTGGCTTTTCAGGCTTTTATTTGGATTTACCAGGGACACAGCAGGAAGGGGTGCTGGGGGCCGGAAAGCTGGTAGGTCTCCTAGCACCCAGCAAGTGTTAACTTTGTGTGGGTTCTCCAGCATTCTCCGGTGTTCTGTTTCTTTGCTCTTCCGCTCTCTGCTGTACTTTACTGTTGTTGCCGTGACGCCGCCTTTAAAAGCCCAGCCTTAGCCCCGGTGAATCCCATTTACATATGGCCACACTGTATTGCAGGTGCCCGCCATCAGGCATGCATTCAGGAACTCAGGGACCCTTCATCAATCCTGATGCGGGAGGGCAGAAAAGCCCGATGCTTCTTCACTTACACTGCATGCAGGCTTCTTGCGCCATGGGCCAGTGGGTATCACCTGTGGCCTGAATATAGAGGAGACGGGGAACCTAGACCCACGGTACTTATGCCTGATGGCAGACACGGGGGAATGGAGGTTTGAGCATGCATGAGGGGGCACACCTGAGCCAAGACAGCCTAAAAGTCAGCATCAGAGGGTGGAGTGCATCGGACTTGCAACCACTGAGCGAGGAGAACACCAGAGAAACCACTGAGCGAGGAGAACACCAGAGAAACCACTGAGCGAGGAGAACACCAGAGAGTACAAAGAAAGGGTAATATTCACCAAGGGCTGGGAAGCTTTCCAGCCTCTGCACGCCAATAACCCCTCTCCTGCCTGCCCTGTGTGAGCCTAGAGAGGCCAAAGATTCGCCTGGAGGTCTGGAGGCCTTCTGGCATCCCGCCTGCCCTGTACCTGGGCATCTCACTACAAATGGTGTAGAGAGAACATTCAAAACCCGAAAATGCCTCAAAAGCTCAGAGATTCTTATCCTTATACCTTGAACCACAGAGAAGCTGCCTTGGTGCCTTCCTGCCGCTGCACTGGCGTGAGTCCGCAGGAGGCCTCCGAAGCCCTGGGGAGGAGGAGGGGTATAGAGTGCAAGTATGGAGTGCTCAGTGTCGGCACCCTCTGAGGGTGCATACCTCTGTGCAGGTGGAGCGGGGGAGGATTTGGAGGGAGATGGTGGCTGCTCAGAGGCCGGGCTGAGGTTGAGTGTTCCTCACAGCTCTGCAAACTGAGTCCAGGGTCACACTGGAGGTGCCATGGCAGCAAAAGAGGTGGACAAGGTCCAGGAGCTCCAGGACAAGACTTGGTGTGAGGGAGATGGGACGCGAGGATCAGGTCACTCCTGAGGCAGCTGACCTGGGGAAAAAGGAGGACCACAGTTTATCATTGGGAGCTCGCCCAGTGCCGATGCAAGGATAAGCATCTCACCGGTAGGCTGGGGCTTGCTGGCAGGGTGATGTGCCGGGTTGGGAAAACCTGAGAGATATGAAGCAGCCTGAGGGTGTTAGTGAAGGTGGGTGAGCTGCTTGAACTCAGCTGTGGTGATGCGCAGTTAACGTTTGTAGTAGGGTGAGGAGCTAAGGAACTGTCCTCAGGGGACAGGTGAGGAACGTGGCTTTGGGTAGAGACCAGATTGGAGGAGGCAGGCACTCCTGGATCTTGGTCCTCACGGGTCCCCGACCCATGTGCCTTTGGATCTGCTTGTCACATTTGTGGTAATGAAAGCCTAGTGTTGGAGTGCCAGCAGTGAGTACCCGTGAGGATTGGCTGATGCCCCCAGGAGAGTAAAGTGCCCATGATCTGAGTGTAGCCTGGGGGAGGAAGCTGTGTATGGCTTGTGGCTGAGACCGCACCTGTAGTAGGTCAGGAAGCCTGATGGCTGCTGGCAAGTGAGGGCCGATGCTGTGAGTGAATGGAGTGGGTCACCCCTCGAATAAGCAGTGGCTTTGGCAGCAGACTGGATGGATCATCTGCTGTTGGCAATAACCACCTTGTTTTGGCCCTAAGTGAGTTGAACTTGGTTTTATTCTGCTGTAGCATTAGATCCCGTTGCACTTTGTTTTTGGAGGTCATGACTGCTGTATTCATACTCGGCAAGAGAAACTGATGTCTGGATTACTGGCAAAATGGAGGGGATGGGTTGTTAGGTGAATGAGGATTGCTAAATCTTCTAGCTCCATTGGCCTGTGGTTATCCTGCAGTCCGAATGCCGAACAGACTGGGAGTGGAGACTCGGGGTCGATCTGATGGTGTTCACCTGGAGCCTGGAGTGGTGGGCCTGCGTGAAGAGGTGCATGTGAGTTGAGAGACATCACAGAGGCTAGCATGAGAGGGCAAAACGTGTTGGAGAATTGCTTTGAGAGGACCTACAACGAAAGGAGGAGACCCCAAGAGAACCCAGAGATTTCCAAGAAACGGTAGATATTTGCAAGGGACTGGGAAGCCTAGGATCCAGGTCCCACAGCTCTGCTTCTACGTACTCTGTGCAGACCAGAGCCAAATATTCAGCCATGACCCTGCTGCTTGGCCTGCAACTGGGTACTTCACTAGGAATTACATAGGGAGAACACTCAAAGCCAAAGAAGTGTCTAGGGCTCTGACCTTCTTTACCCTTACGCCTGGATCCAGAGAAGCTGCTCTTGTGCCTTCCTGCTGCTAAAGTGGCGTGAATCCTCAGGAGCCTCCAAAGCTTTTTAGGAGAGGGGTTTGGGGTATAAGCCTGGAGTGTTCGGTGGTTGGCACCCTTTGGGTGCCTAGCTATTGCCTGGTGCAAGTGGAGTGGGGGAGGGGTTGGAGGGAGCTGGTGCTTGCTCAGGTCGGACTGAGGATGAGAGTTCCCTCACAGGTCTGCAACCGGGACCAGGTCTAAACAAGGAGTCCGGGAGCACCGTGGTGGTGCCATGGCAGCAAAGGGGGTGGACAAGGTCCCGGATGCATAAGAAGAGTTCGTGAAGCAGAGATGGGCTGCCAGGACCAGTGTACAAGTCCTGAGGCAGCAGGCTTGTTGGGGAAGAAAGAGGTCCATGATTGGTGATTCTGAGCTCCGCCAGACTGGATGCAAGTTGAAACGTAACAATTCTGCCGGAAAAGGAAAAGTGGGGTAGGTTGATGTTTCATCTATGGGGCGTGGGATCATTTGTACACTCCAGGGGACACAGATCAGGGGGTGGCTCAAAGTAACATTGGGTGAAATTTTCTGCTTGCACGCAGAGGAGAGGAATCCAGAAAGACAACTAAGGGCTTCCCAAACTTGACAAAAATTTAGTAGATTAAGTCATTGATAATTGGTTGAAAGGTTGCTAAAGAAAGTCTCAAAATCACCTCTGACTGATGTTCTGTTTATTGTTGAATAAGGAAGAGACCCGGAGACCTGGCAGCAGGTGAGAGGGGAGAGGTCTGCTGTGACATGTGGGTTTCTCCCTGGCCGACCGGGGATCGAACTCATGCTGCAGAGGGCGCGGACAGCTTCAGTGAGGTGCTTAACCCCTTGCGCCACCAGGGAGGCCCTGTCCTGTTTCATATGCTGGTAGTCTTGACAGTGTTCTGTCTCAGAAGCCTGAGAAGTCAAACAGGTACTGAAACAAGGGTGAAAACTTGGTGGGAAGACTGTGGAAAACCATAAACATGTCTCCTTCCTGATTTCAGTTTTTCTTCACAGTTGGTATTCATTTGATTCAAGCCTTCAGATCCCAAAGGACAGTGTTACACAAATAGCATCAGTGACCACAGTGGCCTACACCTCAGGAATAGGAGGGAAGAAAACTGCATAAATAAATAATGTAGCAGTGGAACTGGGCCATGTTCTGGCCTTTGGGGCCACTAGTGATTTCTGACACGGACCGCACAAGGCTCTGGGATCGTAAAACAGCAAACCACAACATGGTGTCCACTTGATGCCTTTCACTGCGATGTGGTTGGCCAAAAGCTGGCTAACCTAAACTTTTACACAGCACACTCAGTGCAGGCTCTGGAAATGTGAACCCCACTCTCCACTCCAGGGTGGGCTCTGGAGTCCTCTGAGTTTATGGCTCCCCAAGACCAGTCAGAGGATTAATGTCCATCAATGTCTAAGTTTTCAAGAGTTGGCTGCAAGATGAAAAAAAGGTACATCAGGAAACCAGAATACATTTTCCATAAATTTGCTAAAAAGAAATCTATATTCATTCTACTTTTTATAATTAAAATGTCCTTTTTTTGAAGTTTGGTGATAAAAAACTTCTATCTCCAATCGTTTTTTTTTTTTTTTTTTTGCTTAGCAAGTATAGATCACATTCCAGATTTACTTTAAATATCTTGATCCATGACATCAAATAGAAAGGCCACTATCTTTTAAAGCTGTGCAAGAGTGATAAAGTACCTGGAATTTTCTGTTATGCAAATGAGACTACAATGTTTACATATAGGGGGAAACTATAAGGTTTGAAGATTTTGAGCCATTTGCCCCAATTTTGTGTATTAAAATATATTTCCTTTTGGATGCAATCTTTTTTTGGCTCCACTGGGGAGTCAAACAGACATTTCTGTGTGTAAGGCAGACACGGTAAATGCTGCCTCATGGAAGCCAGATTTTGCTTGAGGTTCATTCTAGCTCTACTGTTCAATTGTGATTCAACAGTTTGTCAGTACTAAAAACAAAAAAATATATGTATTTTTTAAAAAAGCAAGACTTATCTAGCAAGTCTCAGATTTTACTTTTTCACAGGTAAATTTCTCAAGAATATTTTATTTCACTTTGTTTTATATTTTTGAGGTAATATTGGTATAGACTAATATGATTCAGGGCTATCGGCTCACATCTCTTCAGATGTCCGTTACCACACCACACCCACTACTGAGACACCAATAGTTTTCCCCCAGAGTCCAGCAAAATGGTGAAGGAACACAATGGACTATAAAATAACAGTCTCTTCACTTTGAGAAGCTCTCTTGATATTCACTGCAGTCTGATTTTGCTAGATACAAGCAGGTGATCAATGATAACCTACTTGCCAATATATAAACACATACTATCTGCAGAACAGTTGTTCAAGTATCTCCCTCTAACCTACCAACTATTGCAATTTGAAAGAACAAAGAAATGCAGCTTAAACTACTATCAAATGATCCAAGTAACAAGGATTTTGACATACCATAAATCTAAGAGTCCGAGCTCAATGCTTCAGACCACTAATTGAAGTTTTCCTCGCTTATAAAATGAAGCTAATAGTAATAGCTCATGGAGTTGTTATTCTAAAAATTCATGGCATAACAGCTTTGGAGTATCCTGTTTAATGCCAGGCAGTAGAAAAAATCTCACTATTTCACCAGATAACTTTGTTGTGTATGATGCTTGTAAGTGACAGAGATGAAAGCTCTACTCTATGATCTTGGCAATCCTGCAGAATAACTGATTCATTAAGCAGCAGCTCAGTGGACACAGCTGTTGTTTTCCCCACTCAATACCTGTAAATGGTTTACCAGACCTTATATCCTCATTCTTAATGGTATCTTAGGGACATTCCATAATATTACACTCACAGATTAAAAAAAAAAAAAATTGTACAGAGAACTTAGTCCAGCCAGTTGAGACCCAATGTATCACTTTCAGACTATCTTGAAAGTTCCTCCATTGTCATGTCACTAGTGAAACTCACTTTTACAAAGAAATTACAAAATGTCATCCCAGCTCTAACCAGAGGTAGGTCCCATTGTAGAAACATTTGAACTTGGGCCTCCCTGGTGGCCTGGGATGAAGTTTCAGTGCTATCACCACTGTACCCTGAGTTTGATCCCTGGCAAGGGAGCTACCCACATTTGGCACAGCAGACCTGTCTTGTCTCACCCGCTGCTACCCTCAGCAATGCATTTCAAGTAAACTCCCCTGTTCTGCTCCTCACTCTGTCCCTGGTGAATCCTCTCACACCTCTGACCTACACCCCAATTCTTCTATGCCAAAAAATAACAAAACCATTTGAACAATGTTCTGAGAAAGAAGTGAAGGTAAAGGAGGAGTTTGGAGTATAACTGTAATGTATTCCTACTGACTTGGAACTTCTGACTAAATATTTTTTTTCCTTCATTAAGACAAAATAGTTGGGCTGCTTTATGACTGTGTAACAAATGACAAAAATGTGGAGCTTCATCCAAAATACATTTATTATCTTTCAGTTTCTGTGGGCAGGAGTCTGGCCATGGCCTACTTGAAGCCTCTCATACACTCTCAAGACTACAGGCAGTGTGTCAGCTTGTCTGAGATTTAATCAGAAGTGTGACTGGGACGGATGTGCTTTTGTTAGAAGAAATCAGTTCCTTGTGGCTTTATGAGGAAGAACCTCAATTTCTTGCTGGCCATTAGCAGAGGCTGCCCCTCACCTTCAAGAAGGTATCACAGGTTACCTTGTTATGAGAACTTGCCAACATAGGTGACCCACAACAA